ACATCAATCTGCTCCAGCAGTTGCCTTCTTTTAAATTGTCCTTTGTTATGGATTTGTTATAAATACCATTAGAATTTTATTTGCATACAGGACTGAATTCATTAACAATTTTATCCAATGCAGTTTGTAGGAGAAATGAATGTGGTTGGTCTCGGTGCAAACGCAGAGAAATTTGGTGCGCTTTGTCACACAGGGCATGCATTCCCGCGCTTAATCATTTGCGTTGCAGAAATAATAGGTGAAGTTACTGACTACTCGCGGGAGTCAAAGCTCCAAAATCCCCCTTCGATATTGTTCTGCACTGAAATTGTACTTCTCTCTAGTTAAAGACTTTGTAATTCGATTTGAAAAGATACAGATTATGCATGGAAAGTGAATTTATAGGAGTTTTGGCCAATTAATCACAACCTGTGAATTGTTTGATGGTGCTACCTCCTCCGCTCAGCTCAGCTCAGCGCAGCCCAGCCGCACGGGATTCACGACCCCACAGGTCAGCCGTGAACGCAGCTTTCAACTCAGCGATATCCAAGTGGAAGATGCATTGAGTGGGGATGATAACCATTACGAACACTGCACATGATATCTCACATCAGCGCATAAAATTTGTTGACTTGTGCTAGTCTTATGCTGCATCACATTATCGCTTCTTATACCGAGGTGAAATGAACGTAAAGGATTTACAGTTGTTGTCCGAAGGAAAGCACTACCACCTCAATTCAGTTTTTCATGCGCTTTCTAATATGTGAGAGGAATGTTATTGATACATTAACAAATATTTACCTTCCTTATCTCTAGCCATTGGATCACCAGGTGCTTCCTCGAATTGGCACAATGCCTCCGAGTTCACGGAATGCTTACTGAAAACACAAAAGTAAGGATATTCCTCCAGAGGCATTTATAGACTGACAGCAATAATGCCTTCACGAATCCTTCGATATTTCCATCACAACGGTGTCATTTGAATGAATACTCTCAAGAAACCGTGCGTCGATGGGTACACTCAAACAACTTGGCTGCGTAACGATAATCCAGTGGTTGGTGAAGCAGGCGGATGCGGCTCACCAAACCACGCCAGCGGATTTGTATGATGCGCAAGTTGATATTTACACTAACTACAAGCCCCCGAGTCATCCACTGAGTACAGACGCATTCACAAGTACGGCAGTATGAGTGTCTAGAGGCTGAGGTAGCTCCAAGTCTGCAACATTTAGCCTGACACAGGTGAATACCAATGATAGCACTTTAGCCGATTCCATATCTTGCCAACTCAAAAGACTTCGTGGGATTCCTTAATTGTGCACAGTCCTCTAGAGTCCGCATTCCTCCTTCGATACAATCCATGACATTGGTTTCATACAATGCGTTGAGCATAAGTCAATCATGTCTACAACCTACCTTTTGCTTCCGTCATGCTGCCCTAGGATCACATCATGACGATTGGCGTGGTTTGGCGGGCAGGCTCTTACCTCCGCTTGAATTTACACACTCCATTTCTGAGACTGATTTCGCCTATGCGCTCCAGGTACTCGATTTGTTCTTGTGTTCACCCACGGCTTCATTCATTCTCTGTGTTGGTGTGCTTAAGACGCTGTTTCTTTGTAAAAAACAATACAATTTAACGCACTTTATCAAGTGTCTCTAGTCATATTTGCAACGACCCACCTCCAATACGGCATAATTTTAACTCGCTTAATGAAAATGAGGTTTCCTCTTACTCGTACAGGCCTCCAACTTGAATTCCCTCTCCCTTGCTGCACAACCGTATACCTCACTACCGTCAGTTCAATGAATGCGTTGTTGAGTAACATCTGCTTCTTCAGAAGGAGCAGCTATCACTACATTATTGAGGTGGGGCTAAATGCATGATGCTTTTAACTTCAAGCAGAAACTCACATTTGTGTTCATAGTTGACGTCCGTAACCGATTTCAATAAAGTATGTGTTGCAACTCGGCATGGGAATTGTCGCCAAGTAGGGTAAACTGATTCTCTCGTGGGCTACGCGCACAGCTTCCATTGCCTTCATGTTTATCACGTCTAGAACAATGTCAGTGTCATATAAGTTCATCGTGCTTTGTCAATGACGCCACAAATTTTCCTACGGATGCTGTCTATGACACCCACTACAATCGGCCAAGGCCACTATATGTAGGCGTTTCGTGAAATTTTGTTTTATGAAGCACAGTCCTCTTCCTTTCGCATACATTTCAAAGCACCAATTCAACCCAAAGAAAGTACAAAGATGGAGCCTTAAGTGACCACGCAGCCAAAAGCAAAATTTAATCAAATAATGGAAGTGTTGCAGTTTACTTCACGCATAATAAAGTTTAGCCGGTGTGCATTTTTAAACGTGAGTTGCAAGAGGTGAGGAACCTTGTGATGGAAAAGTACCCCGTGTGTTAAAACAAGCAACCTGAAATGGAGCGGAAGCTATGAAGTTTGCCATTCCTTCTGGTTAAAATGCATAGTTGATATCTCCATTCACTACCACTTCCTTGGCTACTTTTAATATCCGATTATTAGCACTTAATTTACTACCATTTAGGCTCATCATTCCAAAATAAGCAAATTCCCTACTTTAGGTCGCTACGAAACACAGTAGTCAGTTCTGCTAAAATCGACTCCACAGTGTCATTGGTTAATTAAGGACTTTAAAAATTACTTGTATGGAATGTATTTGATCTACAACCCAATCGAAATAAATGACAGCAGCGTATAAGTACTAAATTAAAATTAATACTTCCCATTTGCTGCGAACCTCGGAGAGGCTACAAAGATTACGAGAGACACAAAGTAGGATTCCGTAGTCTGCCTTCTTCAAACAATTTCTTACAGGTGCTTCGCCAGATCTCTTTTTGCAAAGCCTTCATCAAGCCAATGCCATCATGTAGGAGTGAATTAACTTCATTCAGTTCCTGCTGATTCATGTTATATATAATTTCCGGGTAATTTGGTATTAATTGAAGCATAGTTTCCACTTGCCTCGAATCCGTCCACTTCAAAAACTGATCAAAGAGGGGTATTTTTGACCGCAACATTTGAAGCTCCTCGACTGTAAATAATGACCCCGTATTTGCATCTGTTGACCGTACCTTCTCCACTTTATTAACTACACCGCCACGACTGACATGTTCTTGCATGTTCTCAATAGGGCCTGCAACAATAATTAAATTTGCTTCGTTGAGCTTTTTCGTAGCATCTAAAAGGTGTGCATTGATGTTTTGTAGCACCGTCGAATCTAAGCTGACCAAAACTTCCGACAAGTCTGGAGCTAAGTTACGGAATCTAGCCATTTTCTCAGGGTTCGACATTTTTATTAGGTTGTCAATTAGAGGTATTTTCGATCGCACTAAATTAAGATCCTTGTCCGTGAACATAGACGCTTCAGTTCC